TTGTGTTTTTCGAGTTGGAAAGATGAAATTATGCAAATCAATCTTTCCACTTGTGCAATGGGGTTTTTCCCTCTGGAAAAATGGTTCCTTAACAGTGTCAATTAGTCAGTTAGAAAAAAATCCTTGTGTTTCAATGTCGATACTTTAAAATCTAATGTTGCACAAAAAATATTCAGAAATTCAATCACTTTCTGCCAGACTTCAAAGCTAGGGAATTTGTTTCCGTAGAAGAAATAATGCATTTCCTCTGTAGGCTGTATGCCGCAGATGCGATACTATTGATTATTATGCCCTAAGTAAACGACGACCGTTTCCTACTAAGTAACGATTCCGACACCCGCTAGCCACCCATCCTACATCCTCGGTTTCATCCCTAACGGCTTGATGGGGTCTTCTCATCCATTTTGCGACATTACTCGGTTATCGGCAAAAATCTAGTGACGATCCCGACAGCTCTGCTCGACTGTATGAATCCCACAACAAATTATTCTGCATTTGTATTGTGGAACAGGAAGTAGCCAATTGACGTGAAGAAGGAAGAAGCAATGAACGAGCAGCATACCATAAATAAAGAAATCATTGCTTCTTCTTAGTACCGAGAGAGGAGATCTCAAATAGAAGTCCACGTTTCTACTTCCGCATTGCATTTCTTTCTATGCCAATAGGTCAGATTTCGTCCAAAAGTTAACGGCCATTCACTTTCCCTCCGGACAAAGCACCTCCATTTTATTCATGAATATATACTGTTCTCTTGGGTTAGGAAATTGAAGAATATCTGAGCATCCAATCAGAAAACGCTTCGGCCTCAAAGACTCAAGATTAGATCACGTAGATCGCCATGTGATAAATATATATTTACGTGTCGGAAAACGGCTTCATCACCGAGGACACTAACATCGGAGCGGTAAAAGGTCGAGCACATGATTTGTTTGCAGCTTTCACACTCCAATCGAGCGTTCTGACTGGTCCGCTCTGCGTGAGATATTTTAGGCTAAGATATTCCGCCTCAACGTTCCGGCCTGTGATCTCCCCAGGAGGGCTCGTTTTGCACACCTGGTCTGTCCTCTTCCAAGTGCCGAACGATCCCATTCACGTGGATGTCTGGATACCCATCGAAACCCCTCGGCCCACTACAGACCGTCCGATTCATCCCCACAAACCCACCCAGGCATGAATCCGGTCTCAGGTATATACCTCGCGCATCCACCAGGAGGAGTTACAGTTACTATCAACGTACGCTCAGAATGACCCCCCCACCTCCCCTCGCTGAACCGAAAGGTCCACGAAATTAAATAAAGTTCACAACAGATGCCCCTCCGAGTTCGAAAACTCGAAGCGAAAATTGCGGCCGGCATGGGCTGCATGTCTGCTTGGACTTGACCTCGAGAAGCAGCCTGTGTTCCCAGGTGCGGAACCGGTTTTCTACTCCGGTTAATCGGGAGTAACCGTTACAGGAAGGTGAAAAAAGTTACCTGAAAGCGGAAGAGATCTTCTGGGCCGGTGACATCGTAGAGCTTCGAGGGAGTCCCACCTGCTGCAGCCGGTGGAAGCGACGAGGTTCAAGTGAGAGGTGTCGGTGGGCGGCGCGTGGCTCCTGCTTATGTGTACAAGTCTGCTGCCCGAAGTGGCACACACCGAGCCCGCTTTCCACCCCCCAACATTTAGGAACTCTCAGGGCTGCTCGTGAGGTTCTGACCTTTTCGGCATTTACTCTCCTCTCCTCTCCTTTCCTTCGAATTTTCCCCGCGCATCTCTTTGTTATGGCACTTCTCGGGGGACTCCGCCGGTACCCGGTCTACATGTCCGAACCCCGGTAACCGGTACCGTTCCTGGTGATTAAGGCTCAGAAGCAGGAGTCGCTTACGGAGTGGGTTCATGCGAGAGGAGTTACTGTGGTACGTTCGACTTACAGTTGTGGCACTCGGTGGTGATCATGTGAGAGATTTGAATGTGCATATGGGGCCGCGCGAGTGACGTTGAGCTTCGAATGTGACATAAAGCGCGGCGAGTGTGACCCTAATGTGTTCGGTGGCGGTGGAAGAATGTTGCGCACCTTTGGGACATGAATATCTGCATTGTTCATCCAAGGATCCGTCCGGTGCAGGATCTTTCGAGGCTGGGATGTTCTCGCACTCCTCGATGCCAACTTGCCAAGATTCAAGGAGTCGCGAAACTTGAGAGATTCATCTCTTGCGTTGTGGAGATGTCACTTGCTCCGATCTGCGATCTTTCATGGGTGAGAAAGTGGAATGCCGCTATTCTCTTGGAAACATCATAACCTCACTATGAAAAGGCTGAAGAATTTGAGAGGGCTCGTGAAACTATCGCGTGCGATTCGTTTTGGTTCTAAATGCGGGGCGAGAGAGGGACTTTCACTTGCAATAGGAAAAATATTAGGGCACAGCCGTTGTGCCAATGAGTAGAGAGAATGATTGTGCACCGTGGTCAAGAGTTGTCGAGCTGAAGTCGTCACAAGAGGGACTTCCACTTGCATAAGGTGAAAAAATAGAGCAGTAGTTTTTGTTAAGTCAGTTCAATGTACCGACGGAATAAAGAGAGCACGAGCGTTTCGCGGTTGAATAGAGGCCATTCTCGAGTCAAGGGTTGCCGAGCCGCATTCGTTCTACGAGCGACAAGGCGGCTACCCAAAAACCAGGCTATCTTAGTGGCGGTGCAAGGCTGTCTTAAGGCCTCATCAGATGCTCTCCATCCCTATCAACCCCGACTTAACCGAACTTTTCTGGAAAAGGAGTGTCGCCATCGGGCAAGAGCTCGGTCCGGAGAGTCGGAGTGCTTTGCGCTTTTGGATGATACGGAGGCAAAGTCTGAATTAGTCACCCAAAAACTGCAGAGGTGCAATAGGTAGACGGTCACCAAGAGGTCAGAGTTAGGAACACCTAGAATCTAGCCGGCCATGTTGCAATCTTCACCGTGAGCATCGGGCGTATCGAGTACGTGCCAGCAACCTCTGCCAGCAACTTGGTCAGAGCCAGACCTGGACTACGGGTGTGCTAAGCGGATGATGGATTAAGAGGGCTGGACGTTTCACGACGTTCGTTCTTCCGAAAATTATTCCCTCGTGCGCCATGAATTTTCCTAACCGTAGCATCAGCTTCTCTTTGATATATTTTTGGGAGCTGAAAGTTTCGGTCTGGTTAAAGTTGAACCTACAGTACGTTCGTATCATTTGGCATAGGGTTCAAGCCCTTGGCATTAAATTTGAGCATCTAGTGTCATTGTTCACGGATGTGCTCATGTTTCCTTTGATACATTTACACCTTTATTCTAGGGTGATTTAGGTTCCAGGACTAACGCAGTGGTCCAGAAACTGAGTTGTTCGCTGTTCTTCCAAACGTGTTCTCGCGGTTGATTAGCGAGAACCTGCTTGGTGCTTACGTGGCGGCGGTATTGGCGCTTTGACGAAGTCAAACTCTAATTATTGCCTATGGTAGGAGAATCCCCGGTTGAAGAAAATTAGTGAGGAACATACAATATTTTCAGAGAGATTTTCAGAAGATCCATTAGCAAAAGAGGTGAAGTGCACAAAATCCAGTCCAAGCTTCCTCAAACAAACTTGAGAACCATTTGAGCTTAATATGCACCGGATGGGGAAAATATCAATCAAGCTGGTCATGTCTGCAGTTCCAAAGAGGCTAAAAAAGGCATCATTGAGGACGGTTTGACAGTCTAAGCCGCTATAATCGACAACTAACACAATCTGCATCAGACTTTCCAGCATAGCGGACAGACCTCCAGCTCTATGCTTCTTATTTTGAGCTTCGTACAGTATTACAGTGCTAACGATATTAGGTCAATCGTTATTTTTTAGTGCATGAATACCACCGTAATGATAGCAAATATTAAGGCAAATGAAACTTATAATGCTATGAATTCGTAAATTAACTCTTCGGAATACACATGAGCTGCAATAATGCAGAAGAGAGGTGTTGATGATATGAATGTTAGGGTAGGGCTCGGTCACGAAGGAAGAGGGCGTAGAAGGCAAGGGGAAGGGAAGGGAGAGAGTCGGGGTATGGGCGTGGGTGGGGCTCTGAGTCGAGGATTAAATAAAGGAAGGAAAGGCTATAGGAGTGGTTATGTTAATTCGTTAGGTTGGAGGAGCAGGTGATGTTTGTGAGGATGGGGTAGCTCAGGGCCGAATCCTCAAAGCAACTGGAAGAAGTCGAACACGGGTGCTCCTCTCAATTGTTTAGTCGATGATCGCTTACCGCACATCGACAAGTGGAGCATTTACCCGACGCTTCTCTGGAGCAGCAGCAGCAGGAGCGGACAAGAGAAGATCTGCTCGCTTTCTCTCTCCTCCCTGCTCTGCTTCTGCCAAATCAGTGTCTGGGTGTGGCAGGCAGGCAGGCAGGGGTTAAAAAGCAAGGCCGATTAAACAATACGAGACAGGGAGGACGGAGGCAGTCAAATTAAGGCTCGAAATATCTTCCTATCTATTATCGGAAAGAGGTAAAGGCCTAGCCAGAGACACGGACAAGACGAGACCGTCGACGAGACGAGACTCTAGAGAAGAAGAACCAGCAGCAGAAGCGGAAGGACAAGAGCGAGGGACAGCGCCAGAGCCAGGGCCCGGGCCAGAGAGACAGCAACGAAATCTATCCCACCCCTCCAACCTCCTCGACCTCCCCCGGAATCCATCCTCCATCCCCAACCCCCCCCCGCCTCCCTCATCATCGCTAGATCGGCGACTCTCCAGAGCGAAAAGCGCTCCCCCTCGCCCAAGAAGCCAAACTCCAACTTCGAGCGTCTACTGCGCCCGACGTCACCCGTTGCTTGCCCAGCCCAAAAAAAACACAGGCAGGGAAAAAGATCAGGGCATCTACCCGTACTTACCTCTGCTCCCGACCTCTTCCCCATCCCTCCCCCCGTGCTCCCTGCCTGCCCCGTGTTGCTGGTGCTGGCAGGACACTGGGGCCTGCTGCTTGTCAAAGCCCCCGCTGCTCTTGTGAAAGTTCAGAGAGAGGCTCCCCGCTTCCGAGAGTGCGGAGACCAGCAGTAGCAGCCGCAGGGAGGACTCGGATCTCGTCCCGGATACATCGATCCTTCGAGCAAACGCAGACGATCTTCGAGGCAGCAACGATCGGAGAGATCGAGGACGAAGAGCTGCTGAAAGGATTCGAGAGCCCCTCCAGTTGTGAGCCAACATGCAGGCGATGCGCGCCACGGTCCAGGCCTCGCAGCAGGCCTGGGGATTGAACTCCAGTGAGGCTCTGCGCGCGCGTCGCCGTGTTGTGTCGAGCAGGAGCAGCAGCTCTGTGTCGCTGCCGGTGCTGCGGAGTGGGCCTGTGGCTTCGTCTCTTTCCTGGAAGAGGCAGAGCATCAAGAGCAGCACCAGCGGCGGTGCAGCCACGGCCAACCTCAGCGATGCTGCAGTTCTCAATCGCCAGTTTTGGTCCGGAAAGGTTGTGAATCCTATTACTCAGGAGGAAAAATCTGCTCTTCCCACCCAGGGATTGGGATTGGGTTTGGGCTCCGGTGTGAGTCTGAGGAGGAGGACTAGCGTGCGCGCACAGGCAGCCGCTGCAGCCAGTGAGCCTGCACCAGTCAGCAAGCCCGTCAAGAAAATCTTCGGTGTGGAGGCCGTTACTCTGAAGAAAGTGATACCTCTTGGTCTCATGTTCTTTTGCATTCTGTTCAACTACACCATTCTTCGAGACACCAAGGATGTGCTCGTCGTGACGGCGAAGGGGAGTAGCGCTGAGATCATTCCGTTTTTGAAGACATGGGTGAATCTTCCCATGGCTATCGGTTTCATGGTTATCTACACCAAGCTGTCCAACACTTTGTCCAAGGAGGCCCTCTTCTATTCATGCATCTTCCCTTTCATTGCCTTTTTCGGAGCATTCGGATTTTTCATGTATCCATTGGCCGACGTTCTTCACCCTACCAACTTCGCCAATATGTTGTTGGAGAAGCTCGGACCCAGGTTTATGGGACCTATTGCCATTATCCGAAATTGGACTTTCTGTTTGTTCTACGTCATGGCCGAGCTTTGGGGTTCCGTGGTGGTGTCGGTTCTTTTCTGGGGTTTTGCCAACCAGGTATTTCCGCCCCTTCCTCCTTGTGTGGAGAAGGATTTTCTCTGTTTTATTAGTTCAGAGCTGTGTTTATGAGCAATTTTTTTCGCCAACGTGGAGATTCTTACTTTTGCGCGTTCAGCTTTCATCATCTCTTGCCTGGATGTGAGCATTCGGTCGTTGCGACAATTTCTGAGCTGCCGCTTCCTTTCACGATCTCAAAAATTCCATGAGGGTTTACATCTAGGATCCCTTGAATTTGCTGAGGAGAGCGGGATTTGATTCCATTGTTCTAGTGATGCCTCGACGCTGAGCGGAAACTGAAGCAGGTTTTCCAACGATTGTGACTTGTGCAGATCACCACTGTCGATGAGGCCAAGCAGTTCTATCCACTTTTTGGGCTGGGTGCCAATGTGGCCCTTATTTTTTCAGGACGTACTGTTAAATACTTCTCCGAGGTGCGAACTCAACTGCCACCCGGTGTTGATGGGTGGGCGTACTCCCTTAGAGGAATGATGGGGCTGGTCGTCGGACTTGGATTCGTCATTGCAGCTATCTATTGGTGGGTGAACAAGTACGTGGTGAACGATCCTACATTGCCAAAGGCCGAGGCTCGCAAGAAGGTAAGAATTTTCATTCATAGCCAGGTTGTAGAATATGACAATGTGTTACCTTGGTTAGGTTGTTGGTCTGTCTCCTGCATTTATCACGTGGTTTTGAAAACGTCGCGTAGTCCTTCAAACACATTGACATTTTTTCGGTGGCACAGTTCAGAACTGATTGAAGTTGGCCTTCCTGTGCAGAAGCAAAAGCCTAAGATGGGAATGGTGGAAAGTGCCAAGTTCTTGTTATCTTCGAAGTATATCCGAGATTTGGCCACCCTTGTTGTTGCGTACGGTATCAGTATCAATCTTGTCGAGGTGACTTGGAAGAGCAAGCTGAAAGCTCAGGTATGATGTGTTACAGTTAAAATTTTTGAAGTTATGAACCAGCCATTCAGCGATTCTGTATGTTTACTGGCGCCAATTCACGATTTCAGTACTTCAACATAAAATTAAATTTACGCCGTGGAAGTTCTTTATACAGTTGGAAGTAGTTCCTGTTGAGCTTCTGTCTGAAAGATTTGCATTGTGTGCAGTTCCCCGGTCCCAACGAGTATTCTTCTTTCATGGGAGACTTCTCGACGTACACCGGAGTTGCTACCTTCAGTATGATGCTTCTCAGTCGTGTCATCTTTAGGAAGTTCGGATGGGGAGTGGCAGCCCAAATCACGCCCGCAGTCCTGCTTATTACTGGAGTTGCCTTCTTTGCATTGGTTCTCTTCAGTGGTCCCCTCACCCCTGCTCTGGCTGGTATGGGTTTGACGCCTCTTTTGGCTGCCGTGTACATTGGAGCACTCCAAAACATTTTCAGCAAGTCCGCGAAGTACAGTTTGTTTGATCCTTGCAAGGAGATGGCCTACATTCCTTTGGACGAGGATACTAAGGTAAGTCGGTGCTAGGTTCACGCAAATGAGGAGAATCTGAGATTGATTTGACTGTGCAGAAATATTTATCACGAATTGTGAAGGGATGACTAAGGAATCATGGTAACTTTTGCAGGTGAAAGGCAAGGCCGCCATTGATGTCGTCTGCAATCCTCTCGGCAAATCAGGAGGAGCTTTGATTCAACAATTCCTCATTATCACCTTCGGGTCATTAGCAAACTCCACTCCATACTTGGGTGCCATCCTGTTGATCATTGTTCTAGCCTGGTTGAATGCTGCTCGTTCTCTCGACTCGCAGTTTACTCCTTTGGTTCAGAAGGATCTCAAGAGCAAGTTGCTTGAAGGAAAGCTGTCCGCCATATCATCCGCTATCACCGGCAAATCTAAATCTCAGCGAGAGGTAAGATAAGAGTTGCTCTAAATTCTGAAATTAGCCAAGACATCATCTATACCGCGTGATTCTTCTTTACAGGGTTTTGTTGTTTTGCGGATTTGTTTGTTAATCCCCTCTTGCTTCTACTTATGGCTTCTGAGTCGATTTTGAACATTGCTTGTGGATATCGTATTTTTTCTCATGGTTAATTTTGCGAATTTCAGGTTTCTTACCGATTCGTTAGTGTTCTCAACGAGCAAGGATTTATTGAAGGACGATATGTGCCCGTTGTTGACGGGAAGCCTGTTCCAGAGGGTACTGAAGCTGAAAAGGAACCCTTGGTTACTAATGGAGATGCGCTAGCCCGCAAGTCAGTAGAGGGAGAAGATTCTACGGACACGCCCGCGGCCACAGCAGCACCTGCCTCGTAAACTATCTACAATTAAGAAGGTTTACATACTTGCTGACTAACTGCTACCTTCATGGCACATTTCTCATCCTCCAATCGACCGGTTTTGCTCTTCAAATGAGGATGTTTTTACTGCATTGGAGAGGTCCAAGTCCACATTAAACTGCTGAACTGCCCGATGGGTGGAGAAACACGAACTAGGAACGAGGATTTGGTGCAGGACAATCGGCATTGGGCGTATGTCAGTCATCACTGGCCACAGTTTTGCAGTATCAGATAATGTTGAAAATGAGTTTGTAGTTTAGGCAGGTGAGCGAGCACCTCAGTTGGCCTTGTTATGCCAACTATTTCTGACTTCATTTACTTTCATCCTCGAAGTTGAGATGGCAAATCAAAGCAAAACTTGGAAGCCCGGCAGTCGGGGACGTTTGGTGCTGAGATTAGTCCTTCTATCGTAGGCCTAGCAGATCCGTGGCTAGTGTTCGTGTAGTTTGATACATCGATGATATGGATGGACATTCCCCCTTAATCTACTTTAGGAGTGTACAGGAGTAAAGTTGAAGTCATTATTTCATAGTTCAGGGTAATTGGATATACTGGGGTGCCATTGTGAACATTCCGCAATGGTCTTCCAGAAGGTGATAAAAGGCAAGGTCGACTTCGTCTTTGCAACCCCGGGACCGGTCCTGAAGCTTCTGCCAACGGTAGTTTGCCGCTTTGCTTTAATCTGCCTTCCGCCTCAGCTGACGGACACAGTGTCCCTCAAGGACCAGCTATCTCCATCAAAACGTTAAACATGCTGGAATTATCTACCTGCAATAGTCAACCCCCATTATGGAAGTGAATTTCCCCGTTCTTCACCTTTTCACTCTTGTACATAGGTTAGTGCACATTAGCAATTAGCTCATTTTTTCATCCAATCAAACTTAGTAATTATTCTCATTGGCATCCGGATAATACAATTCTTTGAAGAAAACATCGCCATGAAATAGTACGAGAATGTGTGAAATCTGTCGGGAAATTGCTTGAGGATTCATAATTGTCGTTCCATGGTTTGAGTAGCTGTTCATTATCTGAACTTGAGTTATAGTAGTGTGGGGTGAACTGCAGGGTAAGATACACTTGGTTTTACCAATGACGCAATGTTAAGATCTGCGCAGCGGCAAAAACTATCAAATTTTCTGCAAACTGTCCAGCATTGAACTGTAAAGGAAGTGCACGAAAAAAACTCTGCGTCAATAGTTCCTGCCCACACAGTCTACACCTCGACCCGTGTAGGCTTCGCGGACAAATCACACAGTTTCCTACTTGACGAATATATCACTTCAAGGGACTGAGTGAAAGTCACTGAACCGATTAGAATTACTTCAATTATAGTGTACCATTCTAGGAGAATATTGTTCCAATTTCTTTTGCATTGGAAAAATTGTATATAACGAGAAGCCGTAATGACGGTTAACGCAGGAAATATTTGTGAACGGAAATGCGAATTTTGACACTTCCAAATATCCAGATATGATTCGGAAAGGATGTACTCTTGTCGTGAAAGAACAAAGAGTAAGTTATGATACGGAACTTGTGATTGTGAAGGTAAACATATTAGTCTACACGGGAAGGAATATTTGCACAATTTGATTATTATTAAATTAGACAATATTTCGGTAGTAGCAACGTTTGAAGTAGGTCCTTCATTGTATAGAGGTGATGTGTGGAAAAAATCGAGAAGTAATGGATTATTGCGAAACTGTTGTCGAAAGTACAACGAAGCTGACATGCGAGTACTCAAATCACATATTCCGAGTTGAAAACTATGCTAACTTCGCAAAAATGTGAAAATGATATTTAATACATAACAAATCATCCACCCATGACACCATGATCGTGTCCAGGCATTAAAGAGTTTCCACCATGAAGGAGGGCGGGATGCAGTTGCGCACAATGTGTGGCTTGATAACAAAAATATTGTATGTACTTTTGCTTTTCAGTAAAGGAGTTGTAGGTTTTTTCACCCCGCTCCCATGCAAAATTAACGAAACATTTTTATGCTGCTTAGTTGGCACAGGAAGATATATTACCTTATCATAGGAAATCCGAGAAAGTGCAAGAGATGATTATTTTGCACAAGATTCCATGTCCTCCTCCCTTGACTCTATCAGGGTTACAGTCATCATTAATGAATGTTGTGTCCTATTCCTTTTCTACAAGAAGACAAAATATTAATGCTTGCATGTCCTCGACGAACAACAGCAGGTTCTTCTTTAGATATGTGTGAATTCAATCAGAGCTTTGTTTTTTAATAGACAACTTGGATGAGACAAGTGTAAGACCGATTTTAGAGCGACTACACAGTTTGCATGGTTCTCGACTTATTTGCTTACTTCGGACTATGATGCTAGCTACTTGCGAGTACGCTGTATATGGAATCTCACTTCCATTCCTTAGAACTTTCCCTGGTTGATTTTCTGCTTCGCTCAGCTTGTATGCTCTTTCAACCCCTGCAGCATCCAGTGAAATGTTGGGAAGACAAAGACTATTCTTTATTCAGTTGTTGTATGTGACAAGGATATGTCGGCTCTGGGATGTCATCACCGCACGTATAACTATGGCCGCAACACTATTAGAATGCATAGAGTATTTGTTTATTGCTCTTTAGGTTGATAGCAGTTGAAGTGTTGATTATAACTTTAGTACACACCTCTATGGAACTTGGCAAGTGAGGAGATAACTACTAGTCCGTATTAGAAGCAAGGTAGGATGTTATCAAGTGCAGTGATGTTAGATAACATGAAGAATGTGTTTTGCTTGTTGACATTTAGACGAAGAGTTTATCAACCTTAATAGATAAGTGCAAAATCTGTTATGTTAAATAGGATGAGAATACTTTCAATCTCACATGCACACATCTCTTGAAGGTTGCATTCATAACGTACATTACAAGGATGGAGTTAGACGTTGAAGTGCAGCAAGATCAAATCATTACTAATAGGATAGGGAGTTACATTTCCATAGACATATGATGTACTTGTGGATGTGATATAGTTGTATGCGATGAACTTTACCATAAAAAATAAAAATAGACAAGTTCTATTCGGTAAAATAAAAACAGTTTGAATTATGAGTGAAATATTATGCTTTATGTATTATTCTTTTCATCACTTTAACATGTCAAGATTTGACATATGCTAAGTGTGCTACTTGATCTAACATATTTCTGGAAGTAAATATGCATGCAATTAACATACTGATCCAAGAGATGTTAATATCATGACTAATTTCAATAAGATATTGTTAATAATTGTTGGAGAAATCACCCATTTTATGTATGCATCTAAAACAAATATGAAATCAGCTCATTAATCAAGTTGGATGGATTTTATGCTTTTGATGTTGAAATAGGCATAGAAATGTATACCCGTTCGATCATGTTATATCTTTTTACTACCATTTCTTGATAGTAGAAAAATTAGAGTATATTATACTAGATTTATTTGGAGTTACCATCACATTGTAGATTGCATAAGAAGTCATTGAACATTTGCAAGTTGTTCATGATGAGATTGCAAAATATGTTTTACAATGATAAATTGATTGTTGAGGTTATCTCCACTTAGAGAGTAACCTCGGGTTGTAGCTATTTATAGCTAGGACGATCGTCTGGACCGGAGATAAATACTCCAAGATTCATCTTGTACAAGGAGTCTTTCTAGACATGACCTGAAATAAAAGTGCTCAAGTTATGGTTGGACGTAGCCCTCCTCTCCAAGGATGAACCACGTTATATCTGTCTCTCATGAGTGTTTAATGTTTTTTCAGTTTTACTATTGACATTGATTACAACATAACTAACATTTGTATGTAATGCATTTGTATAGACTATCACTATAATATACGATATAAATATATCAAATACATTTTTATACACTTTTTGACTATGCACACAAGAATATACATGAAAATTGAATTAATAGGAATTTTTTAATTATTATTTTGAATTATTTTAAAATTTTTTAGAAATTTTTCCCTCATATTTTATGAGATTGCAAAAATTCAATGCGAATTACATCATAGATTATTATTTGATGGTTGATTATATTATTATGTTCATGATTGCAATATTTATAATTTGAATACTGTGAGTTAAATTTAAAAATATGTTTATGATGATCTGTTGTATATTTGCTCAAAAATATTTTCCATAAAAATTGAATTTCTGATGTAAAAATATGTGAACAAGATCAAAATTGATTTTTCAATCTATTATGTTGTATGAAATGTATGAAAAAAATGTAATTAATCTCCTTTAAGATTTTTAAACACTTACAAATTTGATATGAGAAATTTTTGTATTAATTAAATAACGTATATTTTTATTAATGCATATTTTTTACAAAAGATGCAAGCATATCATATCATATAAATTTATTCAAATGAACTTTTTACTATTATTATTATTACTATTTTTACTATTATTCCTTTTTACTTTGGTTATGTTCTATATGATTACTTAGATGCATGTTTGCTTATGCACGGTAAAAAGTGCGGAGAATTCATATCAAATAATAATTGATTTTTTCATCACTATGGAAACTTTTATAATTAGAAAATTATTAAAAACTCACTCTTGAGTTGTTAAATTTAACTCCCCTCTCAGGGTGAAAGCTCACTCAACCGAAAAAAGCTTCTACATCGATGTGTATTGTACTCTTTGAGTATCTCCTCATCTTCCTTGCACTAGTCGTTCCTTGTAGAAACCGTTGACCTTAACATGTAGCCAAATCGAGAGCTTTAATCCTGCATAGCTTCAATCTCCCACTCCTTCCTTAGCTGTAAAGCATATTGGATCAGAGAAGTAATTGACATTTCACTTGGATTTAGATTACATTTGATCACAAAAGGTGAGATTTCTTCCTCACTAGCATTTTAGAGCAAGAAGTGAATTTAACAATCTACTATATATATATATATATTATTGTAAAAATTATAGTATTTGATGTTTGAATCTTTATATTTCAACACAAAGCTTCTATAAAATAAATGCAACGGAGAGAGCAGGTCTTACAAGATTGGCCGCTATCCAGCTATCGAGTCTGAACAGAAGCGGTGTAAACATTTTTCCTTGTGTAACCTCTTAAACTTCTCTAAAATCTGTATAGAAATATTAAATTGTTTCTCTCATCATCAAGTTTATGAATGATCTTACAACTTGGCTTATTCCATATGCTCTACTTTCCTTTTTCTCAATTAAAGTGCTCCTTATAATCTTGTGTTCTTCCTCCTTGCAATTCAATCCAATCTCCATCCTTTGCATTCAAGCTCCTCCTAGTTTGCAATTGTTACGCTTTGGTGGCATCATTGATATTTTAGTTCGCTGTTTCTTTGAGTTCGGATGTAAACTGGACATGAAATTGTGTGGGAGCTTGGACTTGAACAGGGTGCACAAGCATGCAAAATTTCAGATTGAACGCAATTCCAAGGACAACGTTGAAACATCTTTGAGGTTTGAGTTTTTGATATAGAATGTCTAACTCTTGTAGGGACTATATCTTCGGGTTGGAATGTGAACAGGGTTTGAAATTTTGTGAAACGTGAGGCTAGGCAAGGCGCTGTAGCTTGCAAATTTTCAAGTTCAACGGAGTTTTAGAGACAGGGTGCATTGATTTTTGAGTTTTGAGCTTTGAGTTTCAAGATTTGAGGAAAATAGAGTCAATTCTTACGAGAGTTATTTCTTCAAGCTTGGATGTGTAATCAACCTGAAACTTCGAGGAAGCTTGGACTTGGGCAGGACGCACAATACTGCAAAATTTTAGCTTGAACGCAATTTTGAGTACAAAGTTGAGACATCTTTGATTCTTGAGTTTTTGAAAGCCATTTACATGAACACTTCTCAACCCAATATAATATTCAATCTTTTGCAAACGGTTTTGGAAGAATTGAGAGTGCTATGTTAAAAATTCAAGGTACAAAATGCTACTTTGACTGTT